TATGTACATATAACTCTCTAGAACTGCTAGATATATGCACGGCTAGATGGAAAAATCCGGATTTAATGCATCTATCCGTCCTGAAAATTTACAACAGCATTATTGCAATTCTCCTGAAGAATGGTTGAGTTTAATGGGGGTAATTATCCATAAGACAGAAATGCTGTTGCTTCTTGTGTCATTTCATATTTCTTGGTGGATGAGAATTGAAATTCAGAGCATGAAGTCGTTTTAATGTTTGGTAATGTTATTTCAGCCAGTTTTACAATAATCTAATGTGTGTCTGCAGCAAAAAAATGCTTGTGTAATGTTTTGATGCCCAGAATTTCTAAGCATGTCCGAGTCTATATTTCATTTCTTTCCATATGATTTACACAATTTGTTCCGGTCGCCCCGAACTAGTACTATTTGGTAGTACCTTAACTAAAATTGTAACAAAGGCATCAGCGATTGGCTTGTAAAAGAAATGAGTTAATGGAGAACGCTTTTTATATCAAGTCTCACAACACGGCATAACAAATCATGTTTTATTTAGTCCAGTACATTAAGCAGCAGTCGTTGCACCGAATGAAACAATCTCGCTGCCCATGCCTCGCCGTGTTACAAGTGTGGTTACAATTCATCCATGATTTATCCAGCATGGAGGAAGCCGTCGTCGTCGTCCAAACTCAAATCAAGATGAACGAACGACCAATGCAAGGGTTGAGTGCGTGACTAAAATTCATTATATCAGAAAGTGATTCACACTTTCCATTAGGACACAGTTCCTGGAGATGGGCGAATACGAGATTCATTACAATTACACAAAGGCCTATCCGATAATGTGATGTGCTTGATCTCCGCTATACTAAAAATACGAAGGTCAGCCAAAGGGTTGAATTCGGTTTTCGCAGTAAAATGAACAAATTTAATCCGCATCAATTGAACCCATTCATCAGCATTCTTTATTGTAAATCGAGAAAAAGGAAAGTACAGATTTTGAAGAAAAATAGGCGGCTGGATAATGGACAAGGCGCACACATATATTTCATGTCGTGTGGAAACGGAAACATGGTGCAGGCGTGGTCCGAAAATGGTTCAAAAAAGCAGCTTAATATTACCAGCAGATGAACTATTTTCATTAGATATACAATGCTTTTTTGCTATTATACTTCATTTTGATACCCAAAGAAACTATGAGTCGAAGCACACACATACTTCAGTGAATGCACACCTCAATTTGCATTTGCGTTAAAAAGAGTGGGTGTGAATCTACTTTTGAATAATCTAATCATGGAGTCACCCTATAATCGGAGCATGTCTTACAAACACGCGCCCTATCCCAGGTACAACCCATCCATCCATCCAGCCAGCCAAGCAGCCCTGGTTCAGTTCAAACTACTAATTGTCCATTCAATACCCTTCTATCTGAGTTTAATAACAGTGATTGGTGTTAAATCCATCCTAAATTACCAGATTGGACACTAATCCCAATAATTAACGGATTGCAACAAAATTAGTACCATGCAAAGATTTTGGGACGTCGGGGCAAGATGTTTGCCAAATTATTTGGTTGACAAAACTTGTTGGATATTTGTTCTTCTGTAAGCTCGGCGGACATCTCGTATGAATGAGCGATAATGTATTAGCATTATAAATTGAAACTGATACATAGTTTTCACGCATACAGATTCTGAGTTTCTCAATTTGTGTAGGTGCATGAAAACGATCCGCCATGAATTCAAAAGGGGTTCATTAAGCTCTGATTGTTCGCATTCGTAGAAAACCATGAGCATACATTTTCTGATTGCATTGAAAATGTCATTCAACAGAAATTGGTGGTGGTTAATTAATTGCTATCAAAGATCTCTGAGTAATTTAGTTGCAATTCAATTCAATTAGTACCCAATTTTATTGTGTTTTAAAGGAAAGGGCTGGTGCGAATTATAAGCTGCCAGTGAAAATAAGTATGCACATAATTGGGGCATTTAATTTAAAACTCTATAAATCTGTACATGGACACATGACAGCGTATAAGTAATATATGGTCCAAGCTTTGTTGTCGTTTGATCTTAATTACTTATTGTGAGCCTAAAACGTTGTCGTGCACAATAAGCTCATGCACAAATCACGAAGAACTAGAAAAGGTGGCTCCTGGAATAGAAAATATGTGTGTGATTTACGTATCTACAATGTGTGGTAAAAGGAAACGACGTCTTCATGCAAACTTGATTTGCTATTATGATATCCCACATTCCACATGGAAAACAATCCACGACAACTTGGCAGAGTTAAGTAACTTTACGACTTGAACGGGACAAGAATAATTGCGTTGAAATATAGAAAATAGCCTTCCTAATCACAAAACAATAAGTGTGCATGCATGGGACTAGAAGATATAAATTTAATCAGAGAAAACATCTCGCCCATCAGCCTACCCAGTTTATGTTTCTTCCACGGATTGTAATAAACCATAAAATAATGAGAAGTGTAATAATCATAACATCAATAATTTGTACGCATATGCACATACAGCTTTCAGCAAGTTTGTGCTGGGAGTTAAGGCTAGTTCCACATGTTAAGTAACAAAAGTCTAATAAACATATCGACTTGGTTAAAAGATTTTATAGTTAATATGTACCAAAACCATTAACACTCGGTCTGATAAAAATAAAAACCATGAACAAACAAGCTGAAACAAAAAATAAACGTTTCTTTATAAATTTGTAAATACTGGTCCCCAAAATCCCCAAAACAGTACAAACAGTAAGCCTTATTATGAGCTACATCTTGATAAATCGGCTGTGTGTATATCTGTTCTGCCTTTGCCTCCATTTGACGTAATCATAGCAAAGACAACAGCCAACCGGACACAAGGGGTTCTTCTGCACAGGATATGTTACGAAGTTCGAGCTCCATTTCATGGGAGGCATATTAAACATACATTTTCACATACATAGTTTCCAAATAATGGTGAAAACCACAACCACAGTTGTTATTTTTTTTATTACACAAATTTCAAGTCATGTTGTTCAGAGTTATCATATGATCAGTTCGATATAATTATTGCCATTCATGAAAGTCGGATTTTTTAATTTGAAGTTCATATTTTACGAGAGACCAGACTAGTTTATCTTATTTATAATTTACAGACATTTCCTCGTACATATTTTCCTTTGCCCTGAAATCGGGATATAATGATGGACGTATTACTTTGTAAAATAAATAGCTCCAAATTTCTCCGTTGTACATACTTACATGTACTCATTCTGTTGAATGATTCAGAGAATGTCGGACCACTTAAAAATTGAATATTTGGTATAAACTGTACTTAAGTTTCATATAGTTTATGTAAATAAATCCATAATTAAATTTATGACATTTATCCCTAAATTATCAAAATACATTCAACTAGCTCTTAACTATATTGCAACGATTAAAGTTATAAAGTTACAAGGCCAAAATTACAGCAAACAAGAATGTTTTATGAATAACACCTCAAGTATATTATTGGTAAAACTTCGATGAAAAATTAAACAACGGAGGAACAAACAAACTCGAAGCTGGTCATTACGAACAGGTCATCAACTTGTTTACCGGCGATAAAAAATAAAAGTAGTCGCAAGAGTATCATTTAAAAATGTAGCAATGATTCAATTCTTGATTTTAATTTGAAGTGAAAAAGAGCTGTATACAAAGTACGCTAAACGTGACGAGGAGAAGAACGAGTAAAGTGAAATTAGCCGTGATTGTCAATCAGGTTGCTCCATCATCGGTCGGTTCGAGTTGCATCAAGTCTGTTGTTAGCAGGCCAGCCGCACTGCCCAGCCTTGTGCTAATAACGTGGTGTGAAGAGAAAGATCACTTCATCACGAGGAATTTACTCACGCTTATCAATCAATTCGTGATTATCAGTGTCTCATTTCGCGAGAAGTTGATGCGGGCAGAGTGAGACAAAGAGATTAATTGAATGGGATAATGAGATGGTGCATGCAATTTGGATAGGCAATTGTCTTGTCGCTTGGTTCACTCTTTGTTATTATTGGAGATTCACTTCATCAGTTGTTGGACTTGATTGCATTCTGGTTTTGGAAACTTAATGCAAGTGTGAAGTTGTTTGCATACAGGGATCTGTACTTTTTGGCAATCTCGCATATGTACATGTGTATGTATTGCCTCTGGTTTTATTCAGCCAACTAATAAAATAATCATACTTATAATGCAATATCGACGTCTTCATATTTTGCTTATTACAACTACAAGTATATGTAATTCAGCTTTTTATACATATAACTTTCATAGAAAGGAGAACAGATATTTCCTTGTCATCTGAAAGATTATCAAAATTATTCCAAAATTCATATCAAATTGTTCTTGTTGGGAAAGAGAAAGCAAAAATTCCAGAAGAGAAAGTTGATTCGTGTCCGTGAAAGTAGGTGTCACTGTGAGTAGAGCATGGAGCAGACCGCTTCCCTGCCCCACGGTAATGCAAGATGTGAGTGATTCAACAAAGAAAGACTGCGAATCGAATGGATTTGCTTAATCCATGGAGCAGAGTAATACACGGCGAGTATTGGATTAACTGGGATAAGAGCTGCACTGCTCGCTCTAGGGGGTCAAACAATACCTTATAGCGTCCTTTTCCTTACTTCATTCGTGCTTTTAAACATATGAACGCATGTAGATCTTGAGTGTGGCAATGGATTGCATCGTTCATGAGATTTTGATTCGGAAGTCTGCTCTCTGGGATGATGAATTTGATATTGGAGAGCAAAGCAAAAAACTGGGGAAGTGGGTGTTCTACTCCTCCTCCTACACCTCCCCTCAGATAGTGGGGCGGATTCAGACCACTCTCTATCCATCTACTTTTGTTTGGGCGTGAGATTTCGGAGCAATTTTAACCGACTAGCCACTCCTTCGGCAAAAAACGTCGCCCTCCTCGCAGTCCAACCACAGCAAAGGTTTGCTTACTTGGTTCAGCTTTTATAACGCTCATCATCTCCTACTCCTCGACCCTACCAACCAACTTTTGCTGGTGGTAACAATAATATTAAGCAAACCCGTTCATAAGCTGCCCATCGCTTGGAAGGATATCCTCCACTGTTTGAAGACTGGTTGTTCTGGGGTTGCCCCGTCGATCTCGATCCTCTCGCCTTCTTCACTTGTTTTACTCACCTGAATCCAATCTCACCCGTGCAACACACCTGGATTACAACGCTGCATTATTACCACAACACTATATACGCAAATATACGATATGTATATGTGCTGGATGGATTACTTTTGCTGGTGTTGGAATTAGAAGAGGCAATCCATGAAAACGAGACTCATTTTAACTAAAGAAGTAGCTGTAGTATCATTATCTCTCTCTCTCTGCAGCTCTCTCTCCTCCAGTTAATTCAATACCTACAAATTTTGGAGACACAACCAACTATTATCCAAAAAATAAGCTGAGATTATTACTGATATTAATTCCAGTCCACCGTACAGCTACTCATTCATAGGCTGACCGTGAAAGTGTGTAATGATCACTTGCTAATAAAACATAAAAGTCATTCCGTTACAAAAATTTTAGTTTTTTTTATACATGTTTTGAGATTTAAGAAAAGATGAGATTGTGATTCCTGTGAGTCTTAATTTTGAAATAGCCCTTTCTCAGATTACCTCTAAAAAACAAAAGACTAGCAATTGACAAAATATTTTGCCCACCACTGAATTGGTAAACCACAGTCTCATGTTGACTTTTACCAAAAAACTCATGCAAAATTAGGACAAAAAACATAAAGGAAAAGTGAGTGAATTAATTTGTTGGAGAAAGTGAATCTGCTTCGCGAGCCGACTTGTGGTGGTGTTATCTCGAAATCTGTCTGAACTAACTGAATCAATTCACCGTTCCTCCACCCAATCGCCACGGGTAGCCGAATTATTGCTCTGCTTCAAATGTCTCAAATGTGCAATCAAACCGTCACTTAGACAGCCCAACCAACCGCTCACCTATCATTACGACTTGATCAAAGTCAACAAATTCACGACTCGAGTAAAAATGCACGAGACCCAAAAAATCCATGTTTAAGCAAGTACCACATACAAATTAAGTTATAAGAAGAAAGTGAAATACACACACATGTACATTCGCACTCTAAGATTGCGCAGTAATTCGTCATCATCACCGACAGACACCCTGCGAAGCAGACAAATTGATTTATCCAAATAAAGCCATGGGATATCCGCTCTATATTAAGGACATTTAAAAACCATGCTGTTTTTCATGAAAACATCGACGAACCCCTCTTTGAGAGTTTTCATGCTCTAAGTGAATGAATGAAAGCAAACTTTTCCTTTTGCCACAGTGAACGTTACCGCTGCAAATCTGTCGGCATGGTATAAATGAACACTGAAACTGAATAATTTGACGGATAGTACCATTAATTAAATAATAATTGCCATAAATTAGTCAATATGTTGACTACCGACATAAGCCCAGCAGTTCGTCCCGACATGTATCCCCATTCCCAAGCAGCCCTTTTGGACAGAACGGTGAGCATATTTTAGAATTTGTGTATACGTATAATTCATTCCCAATTTCGCACGTAATTAGTGCACATATTTCAGTAAACATTCTGTATTATGCCATGCGTTCTATATGTTTTAAACCGCCATGAGTTCTAAAACTCGCTTACAACTCTCAGAAGAAAATAATAATAAATTACCATGCGCAGACAGTATTTGTCGCAACTTGTATTTTTAATCACTGCATGACTTTATAATTTCTCACTATATTTAGCTACTACAAAATACGGCTTATTTTCCGCAAACAAGTATTGATGAGTGGCAAACACTCATCATTATCTCATCGTCAATTTTAACACCTTTAGTTTTAGGAGAAAATTGTAGTTTTATGAACGATTTCTAAATACAATTCATCTGTAGAACAATGTAGACATGTGCAAAATTATGTTTTTTGGACTATTCGATAAACTCCTTACAATTAAATCATCAGTATAATTGTGCAGAAGCAAATTTGGTGGTTGCTAGTACTCACACTGTTACACCGGCAGGAAACGAATTGAACCAAAGGAAGTTTTTATTGTTAAAGTTTCCTAGATATAGGAAATCCGGAACGGATTGAGCATTTTCCATAAAGGTGACATTCATTGCAAAAAATGCATGGCACACGTAGCTCCTTATGCAAAATTCACACTATGCGGTTACTGCTCTGGATAAATTGAATAGCTCTTTCGTTTGTTCGGGTGAGGACGGGAAAGTTTGTATTTGTTAAAGAAATTCAATCGCACCGACGGCGAAGCATTTGTTGAGTTTGAAAAAGAATAATGTAAGAAAGGAGAAGAATAACATAGTTTCTGCGTCTCTTTCACGAAATAAAAGGCACCCCACTGAGAGCTTGTTTGACTCCCCGTGTTCTCGCATCAGCACCTTCGGCCCATCAAAATGACCAATGCTATTCAACAAACCACTTAAACTAGCTTAGAGAGCTACTTCAGTCTCACTTTACTTCCTATTCCCAATTGAACCTTAATCCCAATGTCCTTTCGAACACCCTAAAAACACCTCTATTAGCATTTACATTGTAATAAATATACACACAGCTCATAAGTAGCCATCTTTTTATTGAGCAGAATAAAACTCCTTCTATATCTTTTGAAATACACAATTTTGAGCGAAATTTTTAACGTTTTGCATATTTGTCCTTTGTATTTACCAGATATTGCATAGACTCAATTTTTTAAATAGCATTTTCCTACCCACGCACGTTTTCATTTAACTCAAAACCTCATTGAAAATACTCTCCAAGAGCAATTTCAAAGGGACGACGAGCCTCAGTAAAAATAGAATTCATCTTTTCATGACAACTTTTCCACACATCAAAAATCTCTCGAATTCGTGTATTGTTTGTTCGTGTCACCCTCCTCCTCCGCTAATGCTGGTGTGGAACGGTTAAAAAGTAGATCACCCATTGTTCGCCCAGCTTATTTTTACTTTCTACAGTTTCCACTTCTGCATTCTTATTTCTCCACCGCTGCACAACACCGGCGATGGTGGGATTTCATAATTCCATTCTTCTCCAGTTGTATGTTTGATAGGCTTTGGTGTGAATCCGAAGTGCATGCATATTTGTGACTGAATTTGAGCATGAATACAAAACCTCATTCACGCAAACAGGATGTGCGTCCAGCAGCAAGACTCATGGCAATGGAGACATTCGTCGTTGTTAGGGGATGATACATAGTGCAGTGCAGTTGGTGGCAATGAGAAAAGTATAGAATTGACCTATCATGACGTGGGACTGGGTGTAACTCAATGGAACATGAAAGATTTTAGGGTTAACACTCGAAAGCTTCAAAACTTTAAACTCAACTGACAAAATGGAGAGAAAAAAGAGGCGATTTAGAAAAACACGACATAAAATAATGATTCGACTACATGCAATCCTCATTCCATTGAATACTTTAGCTTCAACCTTAATGAACTAACTGAGACTGACTTATGAGGACAAAAAATGTGCACACACACCGAGCAGACCAGCAGCAGAAGCTTATCCACATATGTACATGCATATCTAGTGCACATGCCATTATTATGATGGTACTTTTCATTTCTGAGCAATGTCGAATTGAGTTTGTTAAAAATCATCAACTTAGTTATGGTTTCAGCGTTTTTTATTGGGCAAATAATTTAACGAAATTTACCAAACTTAATGGCTTTACAGCAATTTAATAACATAAACATGTCATCCTCTGATTGAATTTGTTTGCCATCTCATTCGTCCATCAGGAACAACAGTACGTTTTTCTACAAGCTCTGCTGTGCGTGATTATTGTTGCTGCTTGTAATAAATGCATACATAGTTGGAATTCAGTCACACACGTGAACATTCATATAAATTGTGAACGTATTTATTTGCCGAAATTTACAAAAACTTCTTAATTCACCAAACTCGCAAAAGTCATTTCATTTTCTTCCTTGCTACCAATTTGCTCCCTCCTCGCTCACATCTATCGCTGCTGATTCGATCCTGATTCGTTTCGCTCCACAAAGTTGAACTCTGCTTGGAAGACCAAGTGTCTGGGACTAATCATGTAAATTATTGTTTTAGAAAAACTGGCTACAGAAATTCCCTGCTAATGAATACTATGTGAGTGAACGCGTAGAACACACATCTGCATGGAGTCTGGACACTGCTGTGGTAAGCTGGCGGATGGAAAAGAAAGAAGATGAGCTTGGATACAGATGGCTTACATGCAGCCACCTTCAACCAAAATAATAATTAGCTTCCCCAGAATCCAATTTATACGTGCATACACATTTTGCCTCGCATTTTCTACTTTTTCCATAAAACAATACTAAACACAAATTGATATGCATTACCAAAAAATTAAGGCACGCGAAATTGATCAAAAATATTTTTTATTAAAACAGTAAAGATTGTAAAGTGCTATCCTTTAATGGGGTGCGACATACGAAGAGAAAATTAAAATCATGTTGAATTTCTCTGCTGTCATTCTCGTCTGCATTTAAGTCAATTAGTTGACGAGGCCGAATTTTAACCTTGTCATTGTCATTCCTGGTTGATGACAGTCGGAGGTTAGAGTTCAACAGAAAACAGACCCAACGGGGAGGCAAGTGAAATATAAAAGACTTGGCTGGTTTGGTTCTACATACGCTCGTAGAGGTGGTAGGACTTGAATTATTCCAAGTGCACGCGGATAAAATAGCTATTTATATGCAATCATTCAATATTTCGGCATCCACGAGATCAAAGATCCTTTCACCCATCAACATCAACCAGGATATGGCACAACTATATACATAGAATTTACGTACAAACTCTTGCACCACCGTGATCATCTTCTTTTCATTTCATCTCCACAGAGTCCAAAATAAAATGCATTTTTTGTCCCTTTTCTGCTACTATGCTGCTTCTTTCCAGTGCTGACACTCTAATTCTTTGTTGAGATTTCAACCCTTTCAACAAATTCCTTTCTTCACAATCACTGACTGCTCACATTAGGAATATTTAGACTTTTTATTGTTCCTTCATCTGGCTGCTCGTGTTGGTTTTTAGCTGTTGATGGACATTTATTAAGTCAGGCAGGATAACAATGCTCCATAAAAAGAGACTCGGGTGAGGAATGAGCATTTTTACATTGACTTTGAAAAAATTAATTCTCTTATTTTCATTGAGGGTATTCATTATTTCTTCGTATCCATCGTATCGTAAAATAGTTTACGAAGAAAAAACAAGGGGTCAGGTTTAGTAAAAATCGTAAGCGTAGTAACGTGATTTTCGATGAGAAAATCTTACGACGCTTACAAAATCTCGTAAGCGTCGTAAGTTATTTTACGATACGAAGAATACTAAGGATACGAAGAAATAATGAATACCCTCATTATTTTTCAACAAAGCATGCAAGACTGAGCTTGAGAATGTTGGAAATGTTTTTTAAAGAAAAGTAGCCAGTCTGAGGTCTGACATTAGACTTTGACTTGAACGGTTGAAAAGAGAGACAGAAAACAAAAGTTAATTTAGTTCTTGCAGTGATGGTTCGGTTATTAGACGAGTTTTTGTTTCGAGAAATTGGTTCTTTCCTTCATGGTTCGAGTCGGTGGTAGACTGGTCATGTGCCATCACAATCATGACATCTTTCTCAATGAGGAAAATTAAATTAAATTTGTCCATGTCCTCTCCTGTCATTGTTCTTCGTGTATGTATCATTGCATGATGAGTTCCGTCTATGCAATCGCAGTCACAATTTTAGTACGGTTTTTAATCACCTTTATGTAATTTGAATTTACCAAATGTTGGTGTTCAATGGATCGTTTGAAATTACTGCGTAATCCAGGGTGAACTTTTTTATTGTGTGGAAGTTGTCGTATTTTAGCTCAAACATAACTAGCTGATTTCTCAATAGGAAATGACAAAGGTTGATAAAAACACACGTGTGTGAGACATAAATAACAATACGTAACAACGTCATGTTCAATAATAATATTTGAAAATTTTAAGCACAGACGATATTTTTTATTTCTTGGACAGAATAAAAAAAACTTTGTATTTGCCAGGTGGGTGATTCGAGTGATGATGTGTCACAAAATGGTCTCGGTTTCTTGTCCAAAGGAACAAAAGTTTGGTCGGGTCCTGCGGAAAAAGAAATTTTGGTAAGCACCCCCAAAATTTCGGTTTCTTCTCATTTCTCTCCTCTGTCTATCTTATTGCTTTTTGTTTTTCAACGTGAAGTTGTTCCAGCGAGCTTCGCATGAGCAGCCAAGTCAATTTCTTGACGAAAATGTTGAAAATGATTCCATGTATAAACTACCAAATTGTAAACTCATGCATATTTAAAGCTCTTTTCACTGCATTTATCGTTTTATTGACAATAAGGTGCAGGCATACATACATAGAGAACAAACATATCCTTGTCCCCATCTATTACGTCTGCTTCAAGTAATATTTTATTGAACATGACTGACAGTGAAATTTCTTTCGTGAAATGAAGCAGTTTTAATTCAAGTCGTCATATGCTGAATCACAAATGGAGGGTGGGCGGACTTGTCCACCCAACGAGGACCCCATGCATATTTGTATTTCAGGGAAACATTTTGCTTAAATTAATAAGTGTTCGATATTCAGGCCTTTGTCAATTATGATATCCATCCCATACCTATTTTTGTCAATAAGTATTATTATTACTGCCATGTAGTAGTCCTCTGTTAACTTGCCGGTAAAATATAATTTTTGCCGACGTTATTTACTATGTACATACATTCATTCATATTTCATACGCTCTCCAATATTTCTGTTACATATTATAGAAAAAAGTACTCTGAATGACTATTAAATAGCAATATTGCAGATTTGCAGCTGCAACATGATGTATTCCCTAAGGCAGATTTACATATATCGGAATAAGGTTATTATTATTAAAGTTATAAGAACATGCCTTCCCACTTAGGTATCTACATAGTGGTCTCCACATATGCCATGACCTTCAGCATAGTTTTTTTTATACAGCTTTAATTCGTTCTCGCATTGCTGCAGGATGTTACGTATCTTTTACATCTCATCATATCATGCATATTACGTACAGAAAGAATATTAAGGCTGAAATAGAAATGAGTCAATGAAAAGCCAGACAGTGCAAGATACAAGGATAAGCAACTATATTGTTAATTTTTAGCTCTTTATTAAATTTTTATTTAATATTTTTACTTTGCTGCTAAGGTTGAACTTGAATCTATCTATGTAGCATGGTGTACAATAAATAAAAAAGTAACATGTTGGTGCCTTGAGCCATGAGTACGTAGTCAATAAGTACGTCACAATAGTTCAAAGATATCATTTTTTTGCAAAGTATGTAATGTTATTGATGATAGCATAATGAAGAGGGATACATTTTGAAAAAGACAACAAATCGAAAAACACACAAGTTTGGAATTTTTAGACGCATTAACATTAAAGCTATGTTTATTTATTAATACGAAAATATAGCTGGGGTTTAATAGGCTTAATTTAGATTAACTTTGTTTATACTACATTTAGTACCAGCAACTAATATTTTTCAAAATAAAGCAGGTTTTTGGTTTACGTTTAAAGCGTTAGGTCTGAACATTCCAATTTATGTACATACTGACAAAGAAATTTCAATTTCTAAGGAGTGTGTAGGAGCATGTATGATGCACACATTCAAAGTAACACCCAGTAGAATATAATGTTAGTTAGGGATGATACGCTGGTGTTAGAAACGGACGAGAATGACACGCACAAATAGATATTTAGACAGGTAGCCGAATTAATTCGGATGATAACCAAGGAAATGTAGCCACTAAACTCTTTTGATGTTTCGCCGCTGTCTTTCTAATGAAGCCTTTCCAGCAATTCGAAACTCGTATGAAATGCGATATGGTAGAAGAGGTGGTGCTCCGATAAAGCAAGCAGCACGGTGGTGTCCTATACATAATCATCCACTATTCAATTGTGCATATGTAGGTAAGCATACATAAGTCTTTTACATTCGGAGTCGGTCGATCCTTTGTGTCACTGGACGTAATGAATAGGTTTTATCTCTCTATGGACTTTTTCCAGTGATCGAATTTGACAATTATGTTTATTAATATACATATGGATGACTTGTTCCTTGTCATGTGTGCAGAGTCCACATTAACGTAACAAAGTTCAGTTTCAAAATATTTCGAAAAGTAAGAAAAGAGAAATTTGTGGTAGATAAAACTGTTGATTCTCATGTTGACTTGTTCGACATTAAGTTCGGAGAATTTTATTTCCCTATTGCACTTGAAACGAATAAGGCGATATGAACCATTGTGATATTTTTGAAGCAACTTTACACAGTTTTGAAATTGTTGACCTCAGACCTTAAACTATCCTCATTTCAATTTGGTTTCTAGGGTATGGGTATTTTTTTCAGATGCCTACCACCAAATGCATTGTATGGTGTTTCGTAGTTGTTGCAACTGAAGCTGTTGATAGACATGAAAGATGAAATGGTCTGAAAACATTTTCTTGTGATTATTCCTGTCAAAGTCTTGACGGAACAGTTTGAAATGTTGTTGAGGTGGACGGAGACTGTTTTAAAGTTATCTCGCCTACCTGCCGCACTGCTTTTACTTTGGCAATGATTCCTCACATATTCCTAGATGTAGGTTACGAATCTCCTTCAAAGAATCGTTTCTCTTTGAGATTACTCGTTCTTCCTGTTCCATTTCTACAAATTATAATTTGTATAAATACATATTCATGAATTAATTCGATTGAAACTGTACTTTACTTTTTTGTTCTATTAAATAGAAAAAGTTTAAAATTCCAAAACCGATGCATCTCTAATAATAATGCTCCACACATGGTTTGTGACATCATTGTATGAACAGGACCATTCTTACGCGGAAGGAGAAAGACATTTTACAGAGAACAAATATAAAGCTTGATGGAAGCATCATCATAATCGTAAACTTAGGATTAGACATGATTCTTCTATGTACGTCCTTAGTTGGCTCGTAGAAGTTGTAATAGTGCTTGTAACTATTGCTGCTTCTGGCCACTTAGGCAACTACATTACAGTACCCAAGCACATTTGGGGGAGCCAGAAAACAAGCGGAAATTACGCACATTTACGTCTGCCGGTAACTTTTTGACTTTGCTGGCTGGCTGGGCTGAAAGTAGTTGCCTTCATTGAAGTACCCTGCCTGCCAGCCAGGCAGCAAATAATCACCCTCCTTCATAAATTGGGACTGGGAGAGACCATCAGACAAAAGTTCATTTCAGGCAGGAGACGGAGGAGACAGACCCTCACCTTCCTTACTTCGTTCTTATTGAGGAAACTGCCGTGTACATAGATTTCATCATTGGGAAGTGGGAGCGAACCAACAATTAGTTTATGGAGTGGACATGTTATTTACTTTTCCAAATCGATTCTTGGCACTTGATCAGCCAGCCCTTCAATTCTGCAACGTTTGCTTTTTAGAAAAGGAAACATTAGTGGTTGAGATCTTACATACGTGTGTGCACATTCATGATACCAGCAGAAGCTATATTTAGCTATTAAATAAGTTTAATCGATGAAATCAAATCGACGTAGTGTAGGTTTAACAAATGGCTAAATTGCATTCTGGCACCATGCACATGTATTAAAATGTGAAAATTGCATGTCACACCACCAGCAGCAGCAGTTGGCACAAGATCCGAGAAAACACTACCGCATGCCTGCAAATAGAAATCCGAATGATTAATTGTTGATTCTCGAGAATTTTGGCCTTCACAATTTCACATCAATGATCATTTCAGCGAAATCCGGTGGTGGTATCAAGATTCGGGATCGGAGTGATCGCACACAGTGCATGCCGTCTCTGTATCTTGGCAATGATGTAGGTTCGCGTGAGTGATAAAATAGGTCTGGTCAACTTCCAACCAACAACTGCTAATGTGTGGCTACTTTACCTGTCCATGGTCTAGACGTTTCATTTACCACCCAGCTAATCACTCTTGTTCTTAGAACACTATGGCTGAAAACTTACGCAACAGTGGCAAAATTAAAAACAGAGTTGTGTGAATGATGATTTTAAATGAAACTCTAACAAGACGAGCTCAATGGAATATCTCGAGATTATTGTTAAGATGACCTGCACAACATCGTACATACATAGTCTATCTGGTCGGTCAGCGGCGGTGAGGTGGTTTAATTTTAATTGCAGCAGGAAACTGGTAATTAGAGCTTAATTAATTTATCCTCTTCTATAAAGTAGTTGTTGTGCATAATGAAAATCTATATGAGAACGATGCTCAAGAAGTATTCCAAGAAAGTACCTGAGAAATGTTCATCCTATTTATTTAGTTTGGAAGAAGTTCACAAAGACTTTGTAACAAGAAACTCCATGTAATTTGAGAAGTCGTGGATACGATGGATACGTTTCCTTAAAATAGTTTGCTTTAACGTGTTGGTTGTTCGTGTAAAGTCCGTTTTCACGGTCTGCTGAAAGCAAATTCTCAAAGGGGACAAATTTATGTGTACCTTGAACCAAGGTTATGCGCAGGGTGACAACAGCAGCAACCTCTTCTTAAATAGATGATCATGTTTCACTTTCTTTGAGACTTTTTGGGGTCAGTTATAGCGCAGGCAAGTGAGAAGGAAAAGCAATGAATGAAGTGTCGAAATGCCGAGAGACTCTCATCCTTCGTAATATTGGATGATCCGTCCGTCCACCTAAATAAGGATTTAGACTGAATTAGCGAAAGATGAATCCTCCCACGAAAGGACATCTTGCTCGATCATTCTTGTCTTTACATTTTTTGATGGTATTATCTTCCGGAAGAAGGTGAGTTGTTGTCCTGAATGGGAGTAGTAGCTGGAATTAATGCCACTCGCGACGTGTTTATGTATGTACATTTTGAACAATATACAAGTTCTTTAACTCGAGAGAGAGAGAGAGAGAGCCCATGTAATCCCTCGTAATCTGACAAATCCTTCTATTCATGATTCACGATAAGCTAGTGATGTTAAATGAGCAGTTCGGGATGATGATTGACAATGCCATTTACTTTGGCTATGTATATGGTTACTGTTCTGTAATCGGATGAAATGTGAGATATTAACTGTTGCTGCAAGAAAACGTACATACATGAATTCGGATGTTAAATAAGCGGGCCAATTTATTGTGTGGATATGGTTGATGCACTATATGAACAAAGTGATGTAATATTTTAACAGGAGCTCAAATGAATAATTTCCAACTTAAATTCTTATAATTTTGAGTAATTATTGTAATCAAGATCTCATGAGGGATGTGATTAAAGACATTTAATTTGAGCAGCAAATGATTACACAGATACCATCACCACTGCTGATACATATTTCTTGTCAATAATTTTTTTGACTTGCAGATGTGTTTATATCGAAACACGTATAAACGAAGTATGTATTTGTTCAATATTATGCTCATGGGATTGTAGAATTGTTTCTCTCTGCATACTGCACATATGTATTCCTGGAGAGTTGGGCGAATTGAACAAGGTTAACGAAAAAGGAGTGGTAAACCTTGATTTATTCAGGTCGCCGTTCTTACCTTTCCATCAAGTTTCATCACGAAGATGCATTAAAAGTAAGTAGGTAGACCAGTTTTGCTTGCCGTGCATACACAACACTCGGCTGGAGAAATATCGTGGTCAAATTCCCTTCAATTGGGTGGTTTGTTGCTTTGGAATGGAAATTGAACTAGGTTCAGATAATCTTAAGAATTTTTTCCGCCTTCACTCCAAACGAGCATTAGGGGAATTTTCAAATATGACGTGATTACATTGCCTCTGGCACTAGTTTAACAAAGACGGAATACTGATGTTTTTAAAAAAGTATTGAGTAGATTTAAAGGTGGCACTATCCTAAATTTGTGCAGCACAGAAAATATCGCTGTTTGTCAATTATGCTTGAAAAATAACATTTCGAACTATTCAACAAATAGATTTCTGTGATCTAGCATTTATGCTTAATTACTTTAAGGCTGAAATGTCTGTTTCAGTTGACAGAATTCAAACAATTAGTCGTCAGTGATCCAAAGCATTAAATGCGAAGATAGTGAAACCCTAATCCTATACAAATAATATTTTCAGCCTATACAAATATAAGTTTGCATAATAGCGACAACGATTTGTAATATTTTCTCTGTGATGAAACGATACACTTCATATATTAGGTGAAACACCTTTCGGTTAAAATTGATAATTCTATAGGTTGAAATATGATCGCAGACGCTTCATGTTTTAAAAGTCTTTGTCATCCATACCGAAAAGTAATCAGAAGAATGCGCATCATATTTGAGTACATCAAATTGGCTAAGGATTATTATTATCGAAAATAAAAAAAGTAATCTGTTTTTTATCATTGAGCAGCACCTACGTATATGTACGTAGATAGTAATTTATACGAATTATTCTATTAGTTTTTCTGTCCAAGAGACGGTTATTTGCTCTTTTTTGGCTGGATGTTGATTGAATTTTCATAATAAAGCCATCTTAACTTTGATTAAAATGTAAATCACGCTATTTGTATTACTAAAAGTTTGTTTTGGCCGCAGAGGGCAATGAAATGGAATCCATAATAATCTGAGTTTAGCTGAGATTGAGTGGAATGAATGGGTTGTTATTTGCTGGTGAAAGGGTGGCGGATGATCAGGAGGGATAATAGTACGCTCCACATGAAGATGTGATTTCTCTCTCTCTCTCTCGACCGGAGAAAAGCAATTGATCTCTGGTGGTTGGTGTTGCATGGTGAATGAATGTGTTAAGTAAATTTGCAGCAGAGATTATATCGACACGATGATGCTCCTGTTGAGAGGATACGCATCGTGGTAATTTTGCACAAAAAGGTCCTCTGATCATTTCACGGAATGGAGCTGACAGTCTGGGCACTTTGAACCATGATTTGTGTCTTTTTGGTGGTCGGAAGGTTTGTAACCCAGCAGGAGATCGACATGAATAGTGCTCTTTGGTGTATGCACATTAGACTTGAGCATCAGCACCAGCGTGGTGGCGAGTTTAGTTTAGATGTAAAAGCGTGGTTGGGGAAATGTTGATTACTCTTCTTCGAATCTCTCGGTTGACGATGTTGCGTTAAATTTTACCCCACACACTCACTTGATACCGATGAAAGCAGTGCTGCTGTGGTCGTATGTATTGCCTCATTGTCGTCGTTATCTGCAATATACCATGCATTTGGTTTGTTCAGTTTAGTCCATTTCAGAGTTTCAAAGAGTAAAGTGCACATAAAATCATGATCTTTTTGTGATGCAGGTTTAACGCTATGATAATAAACGACTCCTGCTCGTGCCACCGCCGAGAACGATGCAGTGAGGCTGGTTGTAATATTAGAGGCCATCTTCATCAGGAAAGTAATGATTTGTTGAACGCAAGTGTTGAACCGTGTACAATAAAATGAAATCAAATGCAGACGATATATTTGTTCATTTACTTTTAACATCAAAGGGTGAAGGACCAACGTTAGCGTGGGGACGAGATGGAAATGAGGACGGAAGAAACGGCAAGCAAGTAAAAGGGTCCATATGTCTAATTGGAGGAAATTTGTTCCCTGCAATGGTTTATGAGATGTCGTTTATCTAATATTCTCTCGGTTGGAGAGAGTTTCCTCAATTTACCGGGTTGTACCCTAATCTTGGTCTTTTATACAATTCAGCGTGAATGCCTAGAGACTTGCACCTCTAGGAAAATGCAGTTCCATAATGTTACCAACCAAACTAGATCACCACCACATGCACACCCGTGATGTGATGATGTGGTTAGCAGGGAGTTTTTTGTGAGATTATGTATTAGACTTGAGAAAAGAGGCGTTTACTTCAACATGGAATGTCAATTAATTGTTAACTTTAGACAACTTCACATTTATCTGATTTCTAATGATTTCTTCAGAACATCATGTACTCATCTTCAAACTGCACACAAAATGAAATAGATAATGATAATTAATGAGTCATTGTTGTTAAAAAGTTTCCGAGTACATTCGTATCTTTTTCTCAAAAATTTTAAAACTCATTTCGTCTACATGGCTAGATTTGCATATATTTGAATAAACATATCTTTTCAAACTCTGTCTTATTTTTTTCTTTGCTATCTGATATGAACATCACCGACAAAAATGCAGATGCATTCCACTTCACGGTTATCGTCATTCCTTCCTGACATTCCACGTTCCTTTTTCTCCTTAAATACATAACTCACTGCTATTGACTACTGAATTCCCGATCACCAATGTCTACTGGAGGAAAATGAGACTCATTTTTTAAGTTTTACTTGAAATGACTGACTGAATGTCGTCCATCTTATGTCGTAGATGACTTTGTTTGACCACAAAATCGAAATATTGACAAAGGGATGAAAAATTATTAGAAAAGCAGGAGAAGAAGGGGGTTTTGGATGTATTATTATTATGCACGGTATTTCTCGCCTTTAACGACACACACACACCACATACAACATTATCGATTCTTTCTTCCTATTTACCACCGCCACTAACCACAAGGCAAGGCAGGAAGAAATAAGAGCTGAAAGAAGAAAGCATTCTCATCCACAAATAGCCTGATAAAATACCACTATGGCAGGGGAATCGGGAATGAAGCCTTCATCGCTCAATCATTTCGTGCATCATTTTTCTCATTCGCCTTCAATTCCTGTGTATTTTCTCTGTGTATGCAACCAACCAAATAAAACCAAGTTGTTATACACGACGACTACCATATCACAGGGCTGCCCCTGCAACTTTGTGAATACAAAAATGGCCATCTGCCATGCTGGCAACTTTGTTAAAAAAATTTTCATGCTCGCTTTGCCATTCCTCCTTCTTCTTCGTCATTTTCCCCTTTGTAATGCGCCTTTCAGTGATAATAATTTCATTACCTGAATGGCTTGCGTACAATGGTACGTTCTTTCAACTTGATGCTACTACATTTAAACTATCAGAAAGATACATGAGTTTGCAACGCATGCAAATATTGAACGACACCATTAATGCACACGTAATGGGTTCCATTACCTAATTTGAATTGTTTCTTTATATTCCAGGATCATCCAGGATTACGAGGAACACCTTTGGTGAGCACGCAATTATAGATTTGTTTGCAATTATTTATAACTGTGAATAATGGGGTCGCTTGTAAATAGGATGACAAACGTGTGCCACTAGATTAGATTATTTACTCTAGATTAAATAGAAGATGGCCCAGCTTTATAGAACTCAACTTTGTTGCTTATAGGCCATGTTAGCAGCCCAATGTAATAAACTCAGTTCGAAATCACCTCCTCCGTTGGCGGATGCGGCGGTGGGGAAAGGATTTCACCCGTGGAAGAAGTCACCCGGCCTGTGTCCCCCGAACTCCGTGGCGGGTGTCCTGCCCACCTGTCCGACGAGTGTGGGGGGAAACGGTGTGATGACCAACCCCATGACCCACAGCTCCCTTCTCAGCGCTGCTCAAAAGTCTCTCTCGTCCTCCGTCTGTGTCACGTCCTCCAATCACAACGCCTACAGCAGAACACCTGTCTCCTCTTCCTGCGGGGCCACACCCACGTACGGGGCTGATCTCTACTTTCACGGCTCAAGTGGTGGCAACCCATGCGGGGACCAAAGTCCGGTGGGCTCCGTGGGCGTCTATTCAAGAGTTCCTTATGTAAGCATGGAAAAAGTCAACTGTAATTCCTTAGTCAATTACATAATTGACATATATCGGCATTTTATTATGTATCAACGTACGATCAATAATTATTATCCTCGATGTTTAGGATTCCTGGCCCTTCAATGCAATGTCTGGGGCACATGCAGGAATCAAGCCTGATGTAAGTACAACTCATTAGATTCATTGTAATACTGTTGCCCAAATAACCAGTAGTAGTACAAGTAGTCACCAAATTTGGCATTAAATCACATGCATCTTTAAAAATTAGGTGTCAGGGATGAATGGTTCATCGTGGTGGGATGCCGTTCACGGGGCTACGGGTGGCAGCTGGTTGGACGTTGGACCGGGGAGTGCAATCTCACAAACGGCAGGGATGCACCACCCACATCATCCTCACCACCAAATGTCCCAATACAATGACTACTCCTCCCTCACTCACACCCTCTCCAACCCTCACATCTTGACCTCTGGTCAGCACCTTCTGCAGGTAAAAATCCTATTAACCTCTTAACGACGAAGTACACACATTTGTGTAGTTATTTTATTTTCCGTTCACGGCGAAGTACACACATTTGTGTAGTATTTTATTTTTCCGTTGACGACGAAATACACAAATGTGTGTACTGCAGAAATTTCCTTGACACCAAAATTTCTTTAAAAAAAGAATATTTCTTCGGTATTTTGTGGAAAACTCGATGGTGAAAAGTGGATTTTTTTCGATATTTTTCACCCAAAATTTTGGAATTTTCCCTATACCGACCAATGTTAAAAAAATGTTTTTTTCGTATTTTTCGTCAAAAACTCGAATATTGCAAACTGGTGGAAAATTTTAATTGGTTGCTATCAGGTATAATTATGAAATCAAAATCGTACCGAAGGGAAATTTTATTTAAAAATCAGTAGTACGAAAGAGGTTAATTTAAATCCGCATTACGCTCTATTACCATTGACGGCTCATCAATTTCATTCGGCAGACCGTGCTCTGTGAACTTTAAAGCAACTCATGCAAATAAATTGCATGACAAAAGAGCTTAAATCAAGTAGTCATACGAATTGAAATTGGATCCAATAATTTGCATGGCTTTCTTTTACAGGATACATATGTCAAGTCAATGCTGCCAAGTCAAGGCGTAGGTTCGGGTGTTACATCTCCCTTTGGTTTGGGTCAAGCATCTCTTCCCCAGGTGAGAAAATGAACTCACGTTGTTATGCATTTCCTTTGTTTCACATTCAGCATTCAAATTTATTTGTTCATCTTTTCAACAATTTTTGAAAATACTTGTTCACGGCCGCATTATACACGAAGAAGATGTTATTCACATTCGTCATGTTTTCATGATGGTTTCATGTCCATTTGCATGATTCATATGCATGCATGATGGAATTTTTACACACAAAAACTCATAATTTAATTTATTTGGCTATTGAAGTTTTCAGTAATGCAGCTCCATTTATTATGAATGAAATAGAGGCTAGATTCACTATTGTTTTGTACGAGCCAGTAAAATTGAAGAGTTATTTGTCTGCAGCCAACAAAGTCACATATCGTGTCGTGACTAACCTATCCATTCTTAATTTATTGAGTTTTTCTGGTAAATGGGATTGGAATGATAAGAGAATGCAAATTATGAGTAGAATGCTTGATTTGAAAAGACCCTACAAGAAGATGGATTGCTCATGATTGCGATCATGGATAAACGCATCCTTCTTGTCTGTGCAAAATTGGAAATTCAATCCATTTAAGAACATGCAACTCTAAGGTTTCTTGTAACAATCTTGAAATTTGACGGTATTGTTCAGCAGGTGCCTTCCCCCCGTTCGCAAAGGAGGTACACCGGTAGAGCAACTTGTGATGTAAGTTTTAACAAAACCACATTTGAAACTGATTCTTAATTAAATGGAAAATTGGCGAATTACTACTTATTTCTTGCTTTAAACCAATGACGATGCTCTGCCTCTGCTATGAACTGCATTAATATTTATGTCTGTTTTTTAGTGTCCAAATTGTCAAGAGGCTGAGCGGCTGGTAAGCAAATTTTATATATATTTTTGAACCAAGTATTCTACTAAACTCAATTAGTGCTCAATGGTAAATATTATTTACTAATTTTCAGGGCCCAGCAGGAGCTCACCTTAGGAAAAAGAATATTCACTCCTGTCACATCCCTGGCTGTGGAAAGGTATGCAAAATCTCAGAATTATATTCTACTTCAATTACATACATATTGTATCTCACAAGTCAGTGCGTGTTTGGATACTTTGGATATTGTCTCATTCATGAAGATTTTGTCCGCATCTGATTAGGAAATTGAACTATTAGTCTCTAAATTGTTGCTAAATAGCACTAAAGCGGTAGCTGACGGGAAATTTGCGTCAAGTGGAGAATATGGCAGAGTAGTCAGACCACCTCATAGTAAATTGCAACACTTTAATGGAAATAATCATTTGGTTGATACTCCCACAAGAAAAAGTCAGCAAAAGTTGTTGATGAGGCATTTGCATTTTCAATCTGAAAGTTCATCTCAGAAGCAATTGGATGATTCCTTATTAGCAATCATGATAACTGTTTTTAAAATCATAAAACCCGACTCCACAACACGTACGTTTATAACATGTAGATTGGCATAATATCGCGTATCTAAATTACGTTGCACCTAATTTAAATCACTATAAATTCCAATTAAGCTACCACACATCAAGTATTTGCGTAGTTAGAGTTATACAATAAGTTGATGCAGTTTTATTTTTTATCTTCTGTCAATCTTTCTCTCTCCTTGACTCAAACTAAATAATTCCATGTCAAAGAATTTTTATCTTTTGTCAATTTTTGGCACTGATTCCAACTTTTGACGAGACTACATAGTTCGTGCAAATCAGATGAATTCTAGTAATGTGAAAAGGGCCATTATTCTTCTCTATAGACAAGTTCACAGCACGACGACCCATCATACGAGCACATTTAGTCAGTTACGAGGTGTAATACATAATATGTGGTACAGACATACATAACTCGTATTTGAATAATATAGGTGAGATGGACATATTCATTAAAGGAATGAAAACTGAGGAATAAGAGGAAACCAATTAAATTGTAGAAAGATAGAATAACTGGTTTCTTTTTTGGTTTAATTAATTCCAAGTTTTTCTATTCTCACAAAAGTTGATTCTGTGAGTCGAGTCGACTTGTTCCCTGCGAGTCGGATGAATCAGTGACAGAACAATTATATTTCTAGAATTTCATTACGTGTTTTATTTCATGTGCAGTATTTGGTCACTTGCACAACTAAAAATAATATCAAATGAGTGTAACACTTGTACATACAGGGTTGCATAACACTATACAATATTTCTTGGCATGAATAATGATTAGAGTATAAAATTGGATCACGATATTGTACAACTGTGCACGGCTGAATTGTTTTCTCCAGAACCAATAATGAGAATGATGCGTGTACTCTTTACATTTCCATGCCCAGCTCTAAGGTCAATCACAAAATTGTGTGCAAACTCAAAAAAAAAGTTGGCGACTTATTATCATTATTTAGTCAGCACATGTAGCCGTACACATTGTGCGCGGTTATGCCAATTACTGTGCACAGTAGTTGGCATATTATTTGAAACCGATTGAGATTTTCCATGATGAACTTTTCTCAAACAAAGTTGTCTTTTATTCATTATTTTTGAAAGTTTGTCAACAACATTCGTGCCACCACGTTAGGGTCCAACTAGGAGGTGCACGAGTGTACGTTTCTATTTAGAAGAGGGGAAAGTGTAACATAGTGAAATTATGTATGCATGTTGTGTGTATCAACGTAATAACAAAGAACGGGAACCATGCACCACAATAAGTATTGATTAGTGGACATTTGGTGTCAAGTGGGCTTGAAATTTCATGAATAAATTGTTTAAATTGCAGGTATACGGGAAAACATCACATCTTAAGGTACATATACCAATTTTGTCCTAGAAAGTGCAAGTTATACAAAAATAAGGGAAATTAGTGCCTTATTTATTAGCGCCATATTTATTGTAAATGTTGAATTCGAACAGGCCCACCTCAGATGGCACACCGGTGAGAGACCTTTTGTATGCAATTGGCTGTTTTGTGGAAAACGCTTCACACGCTCCGATGAACTGCAACGACACTTGCGGACGCATACTGGTACTGGTACTGAACTTTATAGTTTTGCCAATTATTTTTGCACACTATTAAAATACAAATTTTTCAGGAGAGAAGAGATTCGCGTGCCCAATCTGTAATAAGCGGTGAGGCCCAGTCCCTTTTCTGCCCTTTTTTTTACTTGATAACTCATTATCTGCTCCTTCCGTCCCAATCAATTTCAGAACCAACAATCTATTGTTGAGGGGACTTGGGGCTTCACCACACTATGTACTAATTGTGTCTTTTTACTTTCTCCCGTACAGCTTTATGAGGTCGGATCACCTATCAAAACATGTCAAAACTCACAACAACTCGTCGGGGAGCAGTACGGGCAACAAGCGGAGTGGGAGTGAAGATGACGATGAGGAGGATAATAGTCAATCCGAGGCGAATTCGAACCACAGTCCTGGCTCCTCTGTGACCACTCCACCTCTTCCTCCTCACGCCATGTCACCCTCAGTGCATGGGTTGACACAACAAGACATCAAACCCCAAATATGAACCTGTCTCCGTACTTACCACCCCGAGTGAAAGTCGTCCTCCTTGCATCTGATCTCTCCACCACCACCGCGACACATGCTGAAGTAGACGTTGTACTCTAATCGTAATTCTCAAACACATTTTAACCACACTTCTATTTTAATACACTATCAAACATTTCGCATCCAATCAACCAACCCAATAATAGCTCACTAACAATTAAATGGGATCCTTCATCACGTTTCATGGTCACTTTTCTACTTGTGCGATCTAGGTATAAATAAATACATACGTAGTCAACGTGGCTGCCGTCTAGCCGTTCATAGTACACATGCAGCGTTATTATGATAGTACAAGAGCAGTCTTCTTTTTTGTCGAGATTTTATGTCAACCAATAATTTACTAACTCAGTCATGACACCGACTACGAGAAACATTAAAGCCAAGCAAGAAGTGCAGTTTACTTCATTAGCGATTCAAGTGGTTTATTCTGTACGGAGTACGGACAGCTGCCTACAGGTACGTTTTCTGCTGTTGCTTGCGTCAAAAATTCAAGTGTCTGCGTGCATGTCAATCACTTTCAATCCAGTGTCACTATTTACTTCCCCCGAAATATGAACCATTATCCAACACTTGTATATATGTTCAGAGTTTCCTATAGACTATCCATTTAGTAGGATGTCACATCCACAAACAAGGTGATGTTTAGCTAGACAATGGATGGATGTTGTGTTGTTGTTGGCAGTCTCCAGAATCGTGTGAAGAGAAATAACAAAAAATTAGCTTCAGTCAAGTTCAGGCCATCTTGATTCTGGATGATAAGCACAGGGGTCACAAAAATAAGCTCAATACATGAAACCCAAATCTGTAGTCGTCAGTTGAGTCATCTATTACATACAAGTCCATACTTATGTATGGATTTATAGGGACGATATGAGACAATAAGAGACGACTTAGGTAAATACGTAGCTGTGGCATTAAAAAGAAACGTAATTTTGACAAAGCACGAAACTCATCATCATCATGAGTGAGATGACGGACAGAAAAATTTGCTATCCTCTGGATTTAGAAAACGAGAGCAACATGTGTACGAAACGAGGCAGCTTGGTGTCAATTACACATCGTTTACTCATTATGTCATACGATAGGTTTTAAATTCAGCACTAATAAGTAGTGCAACATAATGTGTAATTATTTCATTAAAACTATATCATTAATTGTGCACATTAGCGTTGAACGAGAGTCCTCAGCAATCACGCAAGAAGGAGTGCAGGATGTGTGATCATTTGACAGTTGACAGCCAAAGTGTGGCATTTAGTACCGTGTGAGAGCATTGCATTGCACCAAGTATCTAAACACCGTTGGTGTTAAAAATATGTGTTGTTTTTCAAGTCTGCCACAGTTTATATTTTCTTATTTATGATTTTTTTACCTTGCTGAACATAAATTAGATAATGAGGGCAGGTTTTTATCTATGTATTTATATCTCTCTTTACTTGCTGACCGTAGACCTCAGACCCATCCAAGTACTTCTTCCTACGTTTAATTCTATGCATACAATATTTTTCATATATTTTGAAACAATCAATCCATGGCTTTTTGATTTTTGCTTTAATAAACTACCGGATACACTGGTTGCATTGTGAATAGCAATGAGCAAAGAGGCCTCGTTTACTCTTGTGCAAACTACAGCAAGCAGGATGGGCAGCTTAAATAATTACGGAGTAATGAGTGTGTTTAATAATTAAAATTCATCATAAACGTTAAATTTATCAAGTTGGGGAACATGAGACAATTAGAGAGACTTTTATCACCATTTAATGAATTTCGGTTGTTGGGAATTGAATTACAAACGAACACTTTTTGCATGGGTACATACTCCTCGTCGTCTTTGTTTGTGTTCTGAAGAAGACAGAGAAGAAATGAGAGAGGTGGGAAGGAAGGGGAAATAAGTAACAGGAGGTGGTCAAAAATTTTCTCTTCAATTCACAGATACCGGTGTGTTGTTGTTCGGTGGTAAGGTAACTTGGCTGTCCGTTGCTGTTACTTACTGGTAGTGTTAGGTTAAAGCAGACTATGCTTATTATATCGGTAGGTGGTCTGATCATGATTACATTATTATTATTGTTTTGGCTTGCAGACTTGTTCGTTCGTTCGTATATGTAATATGTTCCCACTTAATGATAGCATTGAATGCATACTCAAGTAGGGAAAAGATGATGATTGCCGAAATGTATGTAGATAGATAATAGTTGTGGCAGACTTGCATATTTAAATAAATGGTTTATCATGGACATATGTATCCGTGTGCATAATGTTGCATTCATCTTTGTACAGTTCACCTTGTAAATACCCAGAAACATAATCAAAGAAAATGTGTAAATTCTTCGTGCATATATAGCGATAAAAATTGGTTAAGAAATCAAAGTCGTTAGCTCGATAAGTTATTTAGTAGGATAAGACATACATACATACGTAAATATAAATATGTAGTAACAATTTAATATAACCTGGCAAATCCGCTAAAACTTGTGTACAATCCGTTGAAATAGTGTAAGTTTATGATTGCATCATTACTAATTAAGTAGGAAAGGCTGCTATATAGATCATCTTGCCCTTAAAGTATATCATCAATACTAATCTCGTACCTTTTACTTTCAAATGAATGAATGAGCATCCATGACAAGAAAGATGCTCCAGAGCTGAACCATGATGTATCCTATAATTTAATACTTGTTGTATACCAATTACATAATTTAACTAATCTTATTGTTGTACGAATTATTACAAATAATAGCAAATACTATATATACAACATACATAATTATTACTAAAGATGTGCGATTTTATTCGGCAACAAATATTGAAATTGAAATAAAGAAATACTAAACATACATAAATCCGTTTTCGTCTAAATATATATTGTCGCGTATGTTTGCATCCATGTTCTTATCAATTTCATCACACTCACGCCAAAACGCTTTGCTCAAACTTGAAGGAGGTAAGAAGTAAGAGTGACTTGCACAAACACATAAAAAATTTAATTTTAAACAATACTCGAGATAATGAGTATCGACTGGGGGCATTATTTACCCACTGAATAAACATTTCAGCTCAATCTTGAGCAGAAAATTAAATTCCAGTGGCAATATCGGAAGCAGTCAAAGTTGCCGATTGTTTGTCAAAAGTAAAACATGGGCAGTTTGAAGGATTTTATTGTCCATCATTGCATTGGCATTCTGCTTGTTTTTGCTTGACGGGACGTAAATAATTGAACAACCAGCAACTTTTCTTCATTTCAACTTGTCTTCTTTCTCTTTGAAGTTTCATTCTTTGAAGTCCAACACATATCATCATTAACTGACCATCTAAAATAAATTTCAAGTCAAAGTAAGTAAGTTTCCACGCAGGCAGAGTTCAAATTGGCTAGACTTCCTCATTTCCCTCTTTACACGTCCCTTGAAAGTAAAATATTCACAATGCGGGTTTGGTGAGGGCACAACTTTGGCCGCTTTAATGAAGTCTGATTCTCGTGTATTGCTTCACGAAAAAGGAATTCTAAATGAGAAGCTTCACGTCGTAACTTGTTAGCACTATGTACGCGTAGAGTTTGCCTTAACTTACTGCTAGTAGAAAGCAGTAGAAAAACTGTGCGGCTCTGTATCTCTGATTCATTAAGTTTGGCAGAGTCGAGTTTATTAGTGCTCATCATTACCTTGCTTAGTGAACTTAAATCTCATTTTATGAGAAAATCTTTCCAACTTTTACTATTAACTGCAGCCGCGGTTGAAATTCACTTCATGGTGATATCCCTACTTTTTGCTGTCTATTGGGTCCCTTTCAACTAACGAAGCTCTCCATTATGGCAAACTAGTAATATATCTTTCCCTTCCTTCCATCTCCATTAACGCGACTCGCTACTTGGTCCTTGTATTGTTCATTGTTGGGATTTATTCAATTTTTGTTGCATAACTGACAGTTATGCAACAAAATACTTTGTGAAAATACAGTATTTTGATCTCCTTTCTTCCAAGGGTTTGGATTTCCGAGGATGTTACACCCACAAAAAGACGACAATTTACATGGGGAATACAGCAGTCGGTCGAAAATACAAGGTTTATGAAAAAATTAACATTTTATTGCTGTCAAAATACTTGGTTTTCACGATTTCCCAGAAATAAAGTATTTTGACTGCGATAAAAAGTTAGTCTCTTCATAAAACCCGTATTTTCAACTGACTGCTGTATTCCCCATGTAAATTGCCGTATTTTTGTGGGTGTAACATCCTCGGAAATCCAAACCCTTGGAAGAACGGAGATCAAAATACTGTATTTTCAGAAAGTATTTTGACCATCCCTGATAACTGTACGTAACTGGAACAATTTTGATATGAGATGATGCCATAAATTAACTCTCCTTGCAGGAATCAATGGCATTGTAAAAAATGGACTGCGTACTGCCAATCACTATACAGCAGACGTTCCATTATGTATATCACATAGAAGCTGAAGGAAGGTAATCATCACCCACATTATAACTTGATGCCACTCCAGTGGGAAATTGGTTTTCGTTGATGATCCAATTCAGTTCTTCTCCCTTTCTGGGAATCAGTTCCAAACGAACATTAAGCACGGGTCTTTTCTCCTCAGCCACTAAAGTGAGCAACTAAAACTAATAGTTTATTGGTTTGGTTGGTTGTCGTCTCACTTTGCCGGTCCCTGAATGTATGGCTACAAGATAGGTTGGCACAGGAAAATAAGCAATATTATGCCATATGGCCAATAGGACCAAGCACCAAAATAGCAGCAGAGATAAAGAAGTCATCCAAGTAATTTTCTGTTCTGAGCCAACATATCACACACACGTTGATTTTCTAGTGAGGAAAAAAAATCCAAGGAAAACGAGGAGTGAAATGAGAACGATATATCCTTTCTTCTTGTCTCTTCGTAGGACAAGCTCACATAGGTTTCTCGTTTCCACAAAAATATATAAATGAAATGAGCGAATCCAGCCAGAGATAGAGGAGATTGAAGAGAAAAAGACATTCGGGCAAAAGCCTTGGTGGATACTCGCACAGTGAATTTGTGGGATCAGGGCCAAAACTTGGAAAAGAAGATCACATCATCAGAAGCAGCTACAGATTCTCCACTCGCTGGGGTTGAGTTAAATAAAGTAACGTGGAGAACCAACGAGCAAAGTCCGACATGGTCTTTTGCGGGGTGAGGGGATAGAAGAGGAAGGAAAGAGAGCTGACAAATTTCTATGCGACACGCCCACACTTATACTTTTATACTTATAGCTTACCCCGCAGACGCCACTATTAAAAAGCCTCAAAGATCTCAAATGTCTTTTGTTTTTACCACCACCATCACCACCATCAACCACTGCAACCATCGTCGTCGAGGTCACCACCACTTCTTCCGACCAACGAGAGACGCATCTTCTTTTCCTTTATCTTTGACTTTTGCTTCCCCTCTCGCTCTCGCCCTTTCCAGCAAATAGCACATTTTAAAACAAAAGGGTAATGAGTCACAGTTCACAAAGTGGTTGAAATTGTATGGAAAAACTGATGTTGGGTTTTTTAGAGGTGCTCTTAGCACTGGAAGAAAATGCTGGCAGTTACAGAAATCTATTCTTGGGGGATAATTTATAAACTATATAAGCCAAAAAAATAAATGTCTGATCGAGCTCTTTTTTGCAGTACAATCTGCTATTGTCATTTGGACAGTAAGGTTTTATACATATACGCGTTTATTAAACAGCATTTATCATCTACAACTGTGTCTCTGCTTGAGGAAAGCACATTATGTTAAGGCTTGCACCATTTTGCAATTTAAGTACTGATAGAGGGTGATCTTCAGCAATTATCTAAATATCACCATTAATTCCACCGCATTAATACCACCGTAAATTCAAAAAATTCCTTATCATCTGTGGCTTAGGATTAAGTTAACTTATTTACAATCAGAGTATTTTGAGTGTTTTTATTGAATTAGGATGAAATCACAAACTCGTCAGCATAAAGACATAAATGCTATTGACTTGATAATTCGTTGGATTAAATGGATTGAGGGTGATGGTGGGCTAGGGCCATAAGTTACTTAAAAGAGACAAATCAGAGGGATAGATTGTTTTGACGGAGATGGAGAGAAGATTGGTTAAGCTTTCGTTGACAATTTTCTACCCTTGTGACAGTCGACTTGGAGTTGGCTTGAAGTGGATGAATTGCACCACGATCTAACCACCACCACGGTCCCCTAATAAAAGCCATACAACGAGTAATGATCCATGTGGCACCGATGAAGATTAATGGCATCAAGTCAATCCATGACTCGTTGTTGGGGTCACCGAATTGCAACCCCACAAAATCAACCAAGATCACTACTCGACGACGATTTGTCTGAATTGTTTACATTTTCAAATTTATTGGCTCTATTCAATTCGACAGGGACAGAATTGCATTCACGAAATTATTAGTCAAACTATATTGCATGCAAGAATAGCAAGTCACCCTCATGTGTATAAGGACGCAGCATATTTCTGCAACTACATTACGTATGCATGTAAGCATTGAAATTGAAATGGTACGTATGTCGGTATAGAACTTGAACTTAATTCTAGGGATAACTTTTTTCTCTTTGAAGACCAAAATTGAAGTGGAAACGAAGAAAATTTCTAAATTCGGTACTATTACTGGGGCTGCCTTAGATGAGCTTCGGGATGTACATACGTAGAGATGCATGCAGGAGACAAAGTCAAGAGAAGAATAGGGTTAACTTATATAAATTCAGAGGAGCATCTTTTGATGACAAATTTGTATCCGGGAGAGTTTCCAAAAAAGAGACCGAAGCAGACCGGCAGTCACTGGTTCGGAAATTACATGCGCACCCTTTCATTTAATATGATTCTCTATTCTCGGATTTCCATCACCAGTAGTCACAATAGTGGAACGAGGTCCTCATACAGATAGGTTGACTAATGGAATAGGTTCAAAAAGCCAAGTTTAAAAATCAAGGAAGCATGAGAGGAAGCAGACCGTAAACTTCCACGAAATGTCGTCAGATCAAGATGCCTACATAGGCAGAAAAAAAACGAAAAATATTCATAATTTTCTAAACAGAGCTCGAAATTTCTGTATCGGGTAAAAGTTTTATGAGGCATTATGTATAGTTACATAACTGATTTTTGTAATTCAAATTATTTCAAATTATATAATACGAAAAAGTGGAAAATAGTTATCTAAGTAATAACAATGCAACTTTTGTCTGAAGGGTTAACTAACTAGCAGACAACTCGACAATGAGGGTGCTATTTAAATAATATGCGGTTCGTATATAACGTACTGCATTTTAAGTTATCTAAAAAAGATGGCAAATGAAGTTGAAAAATTGAGACTCGCGTATACGATTCAAATGTCGTTCTCCCATAAATCATGTTCTCTGCAGTTCATAAATCATTATGCCGCTTGATGTAATTATCATAAAATCTACCACTATTTACCACTGTCTACCATATTGTCTGCTTATTGTTCAGCGAATGCGATTCTACGTAGAATTTTGCAGATCGGCTTAAGAAGAATATTGAATTTATATTTCAATCCAATACTTTTTATATAATTCTTTACTTATAATTTGTAACTTTATAGATCTACAGAAAGAAATATGTACTGTGTGAGCTGTTGAATGTGCCATACATTCATAGTTTACTGTAATTTAAGGAATCATATTTTTTCAATAAAAAAGTAGTATCTTTTGTCAGTACCAAAGTTGGAAAAGATTTCATCGTCTCGAATTTTCGCTACATTACCCACACCAACCGACTTGCCCAACTCACTTTTTCTATAAATCACAAAAGTTCATGAAGCTAGCAAAATTTCGCCTCATTCATCGCTTTGGTCACA